CAATTCAAGGCAACTTAACGTTGTTTTTAAAAAATTATTCGAAATAATAAATAAGATCGTAACACACATAAATAAATTGCTTAGAAGAATCAATAAGAGAATCCAAGAAATTACGTTGAGTTTTGGAAAAGCTCGATAGTTATAGAGTCATCCATTTTGCGGCTCCCAAAGTGAACATAAATAAAATGCGCTTCTAATTTAGATTTGGATCACATTTTCGTTCAATATATTGTTCGACTCTTGCAATTGTTCGAGAAAAGCAGTAGTTGCCCAGCGTGTTGGAATTGTTAAAGCTTACTATGAAGACAATAAGCCTACGATCAGGTTTCTCGCATGTGAGATAAACCTCTTATACAGTTAGAGGACTTGGTAAATCAGGACTTTTCCCTATTGGTGTAGAGAAAACACATCTGACATTCTTCAGGGACTTACATACATATCTTTTGACTGTGGCTTGCATGTTAAAAATATCTCTTTGGAATATTGCATTGCATTTAGACAATGAAAATGCCAGAGAAACATGACAACTGATTTTTTGTGACAAAAATTAGATGATTTCGACTCGGATGATATGTTGCTGCAACAAAATTGTGCAATATGCCATGTAATCTCAAAAAATGCCTACGTAAGCTTACTACAAAGATCTTACGATATAAGTCTATTGTACTTTTTACTTTGGGGTTATTTGTGTTTACTTCAATAAACCACGAAATCTCAATGACCTTATTCACTAAGTTTATTGGTGTTGTTGGTGAAACAAGAGCAGATCTGTGTCGAAAAGTGACAAAAATTCGTCATTCATTCCAATTTTAAGTAAAAACGGCATGAACAACTATTTAAAATAAAAGAAAGTTCACATTAATACCTTTTACGGTTAAATTTTTTTTTTTTATGACTTGAAAACGATTACGTACTAAGTAGAGTAACCATGGGCACATTTTCCCAAGCCCGAATGCATGAATGAAATGAATACAATAATAATATACAAAATGATATCAAAAGGGGTAAAATTATTTTTTATTTCAGAATTGTCTATGAATTACAATAAATTACTTCACAGTTTTCTGAGAGAAGTAAGAACATTATATTTGGCTGTTATCGCATCTTTCATCAGCACCACTTTTGTTCTAAAAAAGGAAACAAGGAAAATAAAATATAACATAACACAATAAACGTCGATATTCTATAACATTGTGTGGGCCTAGGGAACAGGATGCGATAATCCATAGAATATACGCGTAAGTTCTTATAGTTATATAGTTGTACCTGTTGTAGTTTTCGATTAATGAGCATAAGCCCAATTTTCTTTCTCAACTTTTAAAAACACGGGTGTTCTCCACGTGCAAGAACTCCTAATTTTCCCACTAAATTTGAAGCCCTTAGCTTCATTTTTGCGTATAGCAAAATACTACTACTACAGACGTTACATAGACGGACGGGTACAAAACCGAACATATGGAGGTGCCTAAAAATATTGAGCAAATGTACTTTTGAATCTTCCTTCTAGGTGCTGCAAATGCTTCCACAAAAAGAATATATCAGCTTTTTTTTTTGCAAAAAATATAACAAACTAAACATATATTTATGTTAATTAGTTGCAATTTGATATGAAAAAGCTTGTACACTACGTCAGAAATGATAATGAAAAAGCGAAAGTTTGCTGCGCTACTGTGGCCGAACAAACTACAGCGAGAAAATAAAGCCAGCATCTCGTGAATTTTTAACCAAGCAGCTTTCCAATCACGTACAGGTTATACAGCGGATTGCTCGAAGAAATTGTTTATGAGACTTTGGAAATGGCCTTGCATAACATAGGCTGCTATAGCAATAATGCTCCTAATCAATGTGAAGACATTAAGAATGTCTTCCTCTCATCGCAAACTTATGCATGCGAGGCATTTATTGCTCTCGAAAATTATTCTATGTATCTTCTATGCATGTTAAGAGAAGATATAAAGACCATGCTTTTTAAAGGAAGTGAGAGAGAGTCGAACTCATTTGGACATTTGGCGTACAATTGTGACGAACAAGCATTATCCTCAAACCGATTTTGATAATTCGTACTTAATATATTTAGATAGGCTAAGATAAAAATCGTGGGCAATATCTATTTTTTTATTACTGTGTAATTATGCACTCATATGTTATTTTCCTAAAACTTATTTATTATGATTACAACTATGAACCCACGCAGTCAATGTGCATAGCTAAAAGATATATAATTATCAGGGTTATTGACCTTGCTGAATATTATTCCTAGTAGCCACTCCCTGACACCAATACGAGAAATTTGCATATTTAAAATCTGATCAGTTTTCTTGTAAACGTGTTCAGGCAGTTATGAAATGATTTCAAAGTCGTTGGTAAAGTATTCCAATTTCGAGCTACACGAAATTAACAATTCTTGACATACTGTGAGGGATTTTGGAATACCAATGTATTGTGGTTCAAACATAAAAGCTATGAAAAATGGTTCGGATCGGAAAACTCGGGCCACTTCCTATGTAACGCCTACTTTTAAAAAGCCAGTATATGAACCAGATTACTGATGAATATTATTGGTCGACCTTGCCCTTTATTCTCTTGGTTTAGGACATTAATTCAAAAAGACATTTGACAAAATTGAATTATCGGCTTCTTCAGAGAATCTCACATATGTATATATTATATATCTATTAGTTTTTACCGACACAAATAGACATCACCAAGAACATCCTATAACGAGTAACTCCATTAAAAGATCAAAGTACGTCTTATGACTACTGGTATAGATCATCAGGAGATTTTGAAGGATGGTGTTGTTGTACTATTAAGAGAAATATATATTACTCAGATATTCAAAAAAGGACTAGCGTATAAAGTCACTGGTTTCAAAATATTATTCTTTATTTCATAGGTTCAAAATACGTTTTCCCTTTTGCGGGATGACTACAACTGGGGAGTTTTCCATTAAAAACACATCACAATAGCTATTTTGGATAAGAAGAAATATCTGTTTTAGGTTTACTGTAATTTCCTGTTTTAGAATTAATTAAAATTTTAAAAATTTGACTGACGATCGATTGGTGTAAGTGGAGGAGGAAGTTTTTCTAATTGAATCACCGCGTGATAACTATGTACTACAATGTCGATACATAAAGGTGTTTTTGGAGGGCAAAATAATAGCAAACGGTTAAACGTGCGCACTTAACGATAAGAAATCGCCTGATAATTGTGAAAACATAATTATTTCATGTAAACAGCTTGGTGAACAGCAGATGGTGATTGCAAATAAACGGTTTATAAATAAAATTTAAATGATTGATCTTTGACACAGGCAACATTGTTATCAATTATATGTCGAATTCATTTATGCTAAAAATAATGGAGACCAAAAAGAAAAAAAACAATCATTACAAACCGCGATAAGAGTTCTGAACTTTATTTGTGTTTTGTATAAAAACTCGGTGGCAAATTGAAAAGAATAACAGTCCTTGAGCATCGGATTAGCTGTGCATATCTTATTGGAAACAATTTAGCTATTGATAACACAAGCAAAATGAAAATTGCTTACATATTTTTGGCGGTCTTAGCGGCTGTATCCGCTTTTAATCCCAAGCATCAAAAAGTTACTTTAAACGCTTACCAACACCGATTCCCCATTCCAAGTGTCTTCCAACAACAACACACTCTTGGACAGCAACAGACCGCCCATAATCAAAAGACGCGTATTAACCAACAAGCTATCCCCGGCTATCAGGCCACTGCATACAATGCACAGAACGCCGGTTACAACCAACAAAATTCCGCCTACAACCCATTAAACAAACAAAACATCGTTTACGGGTCACAGAAAAACCAAAACGTTAAATATGCTAGCAAGGAATTTTTAGCTAAACAAAAGTTCTTGTTCGAAATTGTGTACCGTGTTGAAGACCCATTGATGTTCGAGGAATGGATTCAGTTGGCCCAGACCGCCACTTTTAACCCTTCGGAATATATTGTAAGCGAATTATTACCTTATACATGCTGTTGCAATAGTTACTATAATGAGTAAAACTTTTGTATCTTTGTAGCAATACGACTATTATATGCAGAAATTCCAACAAGCCCAGAAGGCTGGCGCACTTTTGCCTCAAGGTGAATTCTTCGGTGCGTTGGTAAAGACCCATAACAAGCAACTGATTGGTCTATTCAACTTCTTCTACTTCGCCAAGAATTTCGAAACCTTCCAAAACAACGTTGCATGGGCCCGCGTCCACGTTAACGAGCACATGTTCATCTATGCCTTGAACTTAGCTGTCATTCATCGTCAAGATCTTCAAGGAATGATTTTACCTTCAATCTATGAAATCTTCCCGCAATACTTCTTCAATAGTAAATTCGTCTACCAAGCCGAAAAATTCGATTATGATGTCTGGAGCAAATTGGTTATGTACGAAAAGCAATACAAAGATGTTCTCTATGCTCCCTACTTCACCCAGCAACAGCAACAACAACAGTTTAATCAACAACAGCAGCAACAACAAGTCAACCAAGTTAACAAGAACTTCTATTTCTATACCAAGGACTTTAAAGCATGGCAATGGTGGAAATTGATGGGTCTGGGTGAAAATTGGTACTCCGAAGACCGTTTCATGTTACGCGACAATATTCAGCAATACAACCAAGATCCTAAATACGTTGAAGCCATGCAAGACGTCCAAATGTTCTGGATGCCCGTTGACTATACCCGTGACATTGACATTTTCAATCAGGAGTCCGTTTTGAGCTACTTCACCGAAGATTTGGATTGGAATGCTTACTGGTACTATTACAACTTGGATTATGCCTTCTTCTTAGATGGCAAAACATTCGGTTTGAACAAAGATCGTCGTGGTGAAAATTACCTCTACACTGTCCGTCAAATCTTAGCTCGTTATTACCAAGAACGTTTGTCTCATGGTTTGGGCGACATACCGCAAGTCTCGGTCAACGCTGAATATGAAGCTGGTTACGATCCTCAGTTGATTTACCACAACGGTGTCGGCTACAGCTACCGCAAAAACTACTATGAAATCCAAAGCTACACCAATGCTGAACTGTTAAACAAAATAGCTAACTTCTTCACCCGCCTTGATGAGGTAATTTCCACCGGTTACTATAAAACACAAGATGGTACCTTCATCGATCTTCGTAAGCCACAAGCTATTGAATTCATTGGCAATGTTATGCAAGGCAATGTTGATGTATACGACCAATACTTCTTCCGCCAATGGAATATGTTCACTCACATGTATCTTGCCGATGTTGAACCTCAAGATAACGAAGTCTATCCCAACGTTTTTGTTAACTTTGAAACCATGATGCGTGATCCTCTCTTCTATTCGGTGTACAAGAAGATTGCTGACGTATACTTCCACTTCCAATACTACATTAAGCCATACACTCAACAAGAATTGTTGTTCCCAGGCGTTACGATTAAGAACATCCAGGCTACTGACTTGGTTACTTACTTCGATTTAGTTGACTTTGATGTCACAAACTTGCTGAATGACAAAATGACCTTCGTCGATGGCCAATTTGTTTGGGACAAAACGTTGCTGGCTCGTCAGGCTCGTCTAAACCACAAACCCTTCGCCCTTGAATTCACCATTGAGTCAGATAAACCTCAACCAGTTGTGATTCGTACTTTCTTGGGTCCTAAGTATGATCAATTTGGACGCACCATCTCCATTATGGACAATCAGCAAAACTTTATTGAACTCGACCAATTTATTCACACGCTAACGGCGGGCGTTAATACCGTTCAACGCAATTCTCAGGACTTCTATTTAACAATTGACGATCGCACTACTTACACCGAATTATACAAACAGGTAATGCTTGCTTTGGAAGACAAACAGCAATTCCCCATGGATATCAGTCAGCCTCATTGCGGCTTCCCTGACCGCCTTGTATTACCTCGTGGTTGGGCCAAGGGTATGCCCATGCAATTGTTCGTTTTCGTTTCGCCTTTCACTGCTTCCTATCAACCCTACTCTACCTACGACACTACCTACAGTTGCGGCATTGGCTCTGGTGTACGCTACGTCGACCAAAAACCTTTCGGTTATCCGTTCGACCGCATTGTCGATGAATTAGAATTCTTCGTGCCAAACATGTACTTGAAGGATGTGCAAATCTATCATATCGATGTTTTCAACAAATACAATAATCAACCTAACCCACAGTTTGGCCAATTCGACTACAACTACTACAACTAAATCCTATTGATTTGAAAGAGAACACAAATTAGAGAATCAAAGCTGGTTATGATCTGATAGAATGAACGAAAATATAAAAAAAAAATTAATAAAGACCGAGTTTAAATCCAATAATTAATTTAATCTTTTTATGAAATAAATGTTTAAAAACTAAACAAAAATGTGGGCATGTTCGCCAAAGTTCTGATAGAATTTAGAAAGTGTGCTTATCTTTACTTCAGTAGGTTTCAACGGATTGCTTAAAAGATCTAAAGGATTCAATAGAAAGTATACGTTAAAGCAATGTAAGTCAAACAAGGTTTCGAATGTTAGTATATCCTATAGATTTTAAGTATTCTTATAGTTCAATCAGTTAATGAAGTCGTGAGAGATTGACATACACGTTGTGTTAAAGAGAACTTTCGCCTCTTCTTCAGAAGAAGCCATCAGATATATAAATGCGCGATAAACTTAAGAACCAACGCAGATTTAGATGTAAAACTTTTAAAATTAGAAATATAGCACATGGTCTACAAAAACACCCAATAGGACTATATAAATCTATACAAATCCACGAAACACAATGAAGTATTTTTTTCTTAAGCAGACCTTCACTTCACGAAATTGCGAAGAATACAATAATTACCAAATGAAAGTAAATCCTTCAGTGGATTTGAAGTATTTACTTACAATCCTTGTGCTTTTCGCATTTTAATTTATATAAAGCTAATAACTTTACCGTAAAATTCATCCTTTGTTGCACATAAGCAACTATTATAACTTAAAGTATATTTTTTTCTTTTCCACAACAGATTCAATATAAAACAATGGAAAGATATACGAGATTAAGACTTTTAACCTATAAGAATTTCTAAGTAGTGCGAAATTGTTCCAACGTAATCGAAAGAACAAAAACGAAATATTTGAACATCATCATATGCTTTTTATATTGTTATTGCATTATTGTTTTTACCCTCAACATCGCTTCTACATATTCAATTAACTTTCTAATTCCATGAAAAATGCAGCATTGCACATCAGAAAGGTTGCCATCGCATGGTTAACAGCAGAAAAACTACAAGTGCTTTGCGCTGCCACAGACCTAGTAAATCTGTGCCATTGACCTTATTGTCGACGGAAAAAAACTGCACAGACTTCCTGAACTCCCTGGAACACCATAGTTTAAGTTACCGTAGATCACAAGTGGGAAAAGTTTGTGCGGACGTACGTAGCGCCCAGAACGAATTGGGGTAGACCACTTTTTATTACGGCCATCGAGTCAGAATCGTTTCATGACCCAATTCAAACTTTCATGTCCATATTGTTTCTTGTGCTCAACCTACAGGTCCCAGTTTTTGAGATATTTTGATGAAATTCGGTACACTAAGGTCGAAGGTCAAATGCTATTGAAAATGGTTTGGGTCGATCCACTTTCTCGACCATTTCTTATATGGCGCCTTATTGTGTGTATAGTCTTTGTTTCATTAGCTATAAGGCGGCGGAGGGTACTTAATGGTGGGGCATATCTCCCTGTAGTGCTTTTACTTGTTGCTTATAATTTATTGTTGAATTTGTGTCACATATATTATTGTTCCATTCTATATGAACTTGTGCGGCCAACGTTCTTTTCTTTTAAAGTGTACCGAGCGTTGTATT